TATATACGGGAAGCGGTGCGCTGAATTGGGTCAAACGTCGTCGCTCGTAAAACCGCGCGCGTGCTCGTCCGAGGGACGACGAGACGGCGAGGGAATCGCCGGTTGTTTCGATTCTACTAGATATGAATGAATTGTGGTGTTTCTCTCTGCCTTTGTCCTTCTCTCCCTTTCTCTCTCTTTCGGGAAATTTTAATTGCCGCTAGTTAGAATTTCTGCTAGTTTAGAAGATTCTAGTTAGAATCACTAATATTTCTAGTCATTTATATCCAATTTAGATATGAGTGCACATTATGACTATTGATTGTTTGATTAATACGTCATTTAGATAACTTGATATGAATGAATTGTGGTGTTTCTCTCTGTCTTTGTCCTTCTCTCCCTCTCTCTCTCTTTCGGGAAATTTTAATTGCTTTGATGGTTTAAGGGCCGGTTTCACCAACTTCGGTTAAATTCTAACTAGCAGAAGTGCCAATATCGAGATTGAATATAAATTGTTCATTGAGGTTCAGTATGACACTCTTTATGGCACATCGCATTTAAGCTGGCTACTCTGCTACTTTTAACCCTCGGTTAGCTTAACCGGAGTTGGTGAAACCTAAGTAAGGATTTGAGAATTCGCCAGTTATCCAAAACTCACTAATATTTCTAGTCATTTATATCCAATTTAGATATGAGTGCACATTATGACTATTGATTGTTTGATTAATACGTCATTTAGATAACTTGATATGAATGAATTGTGGTGTTTCTCTCTGTCTTTGTCCTTCTCTCCCTCTCTCTCTCTTTCGGGAAATTTTAATTGCTTTGATGGTTTAAGGGCCGGTTTCACCAACTTCGGTTAAATTCTAACTAGCAGAAGTGCCAATATCGAGATTGAATATAAATTGTTCATTGAGGTGCAGTATGACACTGTTTATGGCACGTCGCATTTAAGCTGGCTACTCTGCTACTTTTAACCCTCGGTTAGCTTAACCGGAGTTGGTGAAACCTGAGTAAGGATTTGAGAATTCGCCAGTTATAAGATTGTTGACGTCAGCACGTACATAACATCTCTATTTTGTTTTTTATTCTGTATTCTTTACTACCTTAAATTACCCGGCGTTGCCCGAGTTATCGTGTCAAGGGGATGCAATCAGGGAAGAAATGGATTGTTCAGGTTTTATGATTGTCTAAATTTCCCGCAGAGTTCTAAAGAGTAATTATGCAAAATTTGATCTAGATTGGTTGAAGAATTTTCGTTAAAGGACATACGGACATTCTATATATTCCTTTTGCTCTCTCTTTCTCTCTCCCCCTCCCTCCCTTCTTCCCTCTATCTCTACTTCTCTCTCTCTCTCTCTCAACATATTTAGCATGCTCTACTTGCGTCTTCATATCATTGAAAGATATCTGTCGTAATGAGACACAACGTGCGACTTAATGATCGCGACAATCGCGCGTTCTCGATCGAATCGAGCGTCGTAGAATACTCGCGAGGTGACACACGCGGGAGAAGAGAACGTAAATTATAATCGCGAATTTTGACGCGAAGACTCGTTAATCTTGTTGATTTCGACGCGCGATGACACGTTAATCAATAACGACTGCTCGCGTAATCCGACGTCATGAGCGTGACGTCACCTCGTTATCGTCTCGTTAAACGTTGCACGCATTCCTGATGTGTTTGCGACAGAAAATATACGTGTAAATCATGTCCGATTACCAGGAACCGTAAATACTGGTATGAACGGTATTTCGTTGAGAATACAACGATTTCGTGCACAAACGCGTATCGCATCTGGCAACCGTCATTATGCATAATATATGAGCTCGTTGATTAAGCTTCGATAAAACATTCACCGGGACAATACTCGATCTCTCTAATCATTTATATTCTTATCACCGTATTATCATCATATTTAAATGTATGATACGACACGATATGTCAAGTTATCTAAATGACGTATTAATCAAACAATCAATAGTCATAATATGCACTCATATCTAAATTGGATATAAATGACTAGAAATATTAGTGAGTTTTGGATTACAAAATGTTAAGGCTTAGTGTAATCGTCAATTATATTGCGTCCAACAATTATATGCACTCACGAATCCTACAATTCTTTCAGTAGACACACACAGAAATATACTTAGCATTGTACGCATTCATTCAAGTAAACTCAAATAAATAAATACATACATTCAAGTAAATTACTTGTTTCAAGTATCTCATAAATTTATACGTCCGCAAAAATCTATTGTAAGTTTATCATAAGCGTCAAATTGACTCAAAATATATTCTGAATCCTAGTAAGTTTAGTATTTCAATTATGAATATTAAAGTAAAAATTGAGTTTGTTTAGTACATACAATCGAATCAACTCGATTAAGTTATCCTCGATTTAAGTTTCGTAATATTCTTGTAAAGACAATAAATTCTTTTTTTGAGCAAATGATGAGCTTTTTTAAAATCTATGATAAATATACTTGAAGACTGTTATTAAAAAAATAGTCTTTTGCTAAAGATAAAAATTTTGTTAGAACAAAGAAGGAAAGTAAACTGTGCAATCGTTTTTCTCAGCAGAGTACAATGGTGTTTTTCTGTGTGTTGGCGCATTACAGCAACCCCAGATAAGATTGATCACGATTTTCACGGAACACTAGTAAAATTTGCGCTTGACTCGCGTAATCTCCTCATAATAATATACAGACGCAACATTATCTTATTTCTTGACTGATGTATTAGTCGGATTTTCGTATCCGGGTTTAATATCCGTTTGATCATTCATCACGTGCGAAAATAAACCTGATATATACCATCGTAATCCAACGTCCTTCGACGATCCCGTTACGCGTGTAAAGAGCTGCATCACTAATCAGTACACCAGCACAAGGATGGACTTACGACTATCGATCATCCCGCGATACCTGAACGTGCACGACACGTCCTATTACTTGTTGCGCAAGGTGATACGTTTCTCGTGTGCATTTACTTTTTAACATTTCTTTTTGTCACGGAAGCCGTAACATTCCACGCTGTATGTTACGAAGAAAAAAATGGTTACCTTACGTGGAGTGTATTACTCCACGCTTCATTACCCAAGCGTGTGTCAAGCAACGTTAATCCAATTTTTCTTATCCAATCGTGTTAGAGACACTGTTCACGAAAGAACAGAGAAAATAGCTGAGCATGTCTCTTTGACCCTTACCATGGCAATAGTAATTAACGATGCCATGTACGATGATTTTCGTATGTATAAATATGCTAATATAACTTGTCATATATCAATGTAATTATGAAAATTTAATTCGTTAAGATGTTTCCTTATCTGAGTTTCAGGGAAACATTCATAAGACGCTAATTGACCAAACAGATACACGTTAAACTGCCTAATGCTAAAATCAAACAACTAGAAAAGAGTTTAACGATACCGATCGTAGAATTGTTTTCTTACCGGTGCATTTTCCTTCGGGAAAATTTTTGTGTTTTTGTCATAATTTCTAATAAAACATATGCTCTTATTTTCCACGTTATATAGCAGCAAATGAATGCGTCGGCTGTGCACTAAGAGAAAAATTATATTAAAATCAACAAATATTTCCTTGATAGGTGCCATTAATTTATTTACTTAAATCTATTTATTTAAATCAAATATTGTTTATCTAATTTAAATAAATAATATTTGGTTTAAATAAAGAGAATGTAGATTTAAGTAAATATGTTAATGGCATCCATCAAGGAAATACTTGTTGATTTCAATATAATTTCTCTCTAAGTGTGGGCGGGTTATATAGAACGGCAAGATTATAAAATAATTCTCCCACTATTACAACATATGATATAGCTTTTAATCTTCAAGTTTTATAGCGACTAAATTTGTTGGCACACGGAAAAAAAGATTTGCTAATATATGGACAATTAAAAATATTAACTGCAGGAGCAAATTTTCTTGCTTTCATAGCAAAGTTATTTAGTTGTGATAGCTAAAAGATTTGCTATATATATTAGCACATCCTTTTGACATATTATATAGCTTTTAATCTTGAAGATTAAAAACTATATATATTGTAATAGTGGAAGAATTATTTTATAATCTTGCCGTTCTATATACCCACACTGAGAGAAAAATTATATTAAAATCAAGTATTTCCTTGATGCCATTAACATATTTACTTAAATCTACATTCTTTTTTTTTAAACCAAATATTGTTTATCTAAATTAGGTAATATATAAATATTAGCTTATATATATTAGCAAATCTTTTAGCTACCCTTTTTAGCTATTACCTAAATAACTTTGCTATGAAAGCAAGAAAATTTGCTCCTGCAGTTAATAATTTCAGTAATCCATATATTAGCAATTTTTTTTTCCGTACAGGGTTCTATAGTTTGAGGAAATTTTCTGTGCTTTAGTGAGGTAGGCGTTCGAGCCAGCCGATATATATTAGCACATCTTTTTGACATATTATATAGCTTTTAATCTTGAAGATTAAAGCTATATAATAAGCTATATATGTTGTAATAGTGGAAGAATTATTTTATAATCTTGCCGCTCCACACTGAGAGAAAAATTATATTAAAATCAACAAGTATTACCTTGATGCCATTAACACATTTACTTAAATCTACATTCTTTTTTTTTAAACCAAATATTGTTTATTTAAATTAGGTAATATATATATTAGCAAATCTTTTAGCTACCCTTTTTAGCTATTACCTAAATAACTTTGCTATGAAAGCAAGAAAATTTGCTCCTGCAGTTAATAATTTCAGTAGTCCATATATTAGCAAATTTTTTTTCCGTGCAGGGTTCTATAATTTGAGAAAATTTTCTTTAGTGAGGTAGGCATTCGAGCCAGCCGGGTGTGTACAAGCCGGCGACTGCGCGGATCGCCGAGCAGGCCGGTCGGCGAGGAAAAAATTCAGAAGCCGTGACATAGCCGCGAAATGAGTCACTATGCGCGAGCTCGCAAGGCGACTCCTAATTAATAAAAGCGATCACGTAGGACTGACTCACCGTGAGGATTGGTGAAGTATCCCCAGGTGGGAGTCGCGGTCGCCGCCGCCTGCACCACCAGAGCCACGACGCTCAGGGCCAACGCTCCAGCGGCGCCTCGCGCTGCGAAGGCGCGCTTCTCGCTCCGCTGCGGATCGGTAGTCGTGGTCGCGACCGCCCTCACGCCCTGACGGATGCTCGGATCGGTTGCCATACCTCATGCCGTTCGTATCTCAGCGGGACGCGCTCCTCCGCCGTCGCCCTCGCATAGATCCTCGACGATCCCACGCGATGTATCGAGCCGACTGCGAGATACCGGCGAGATCGGGTACCCTCAACGGTACTCGCTCGTAGATCACGGATCGATAAGTCGCCGCGCCGGCAGGAGGACGATCCGCCTGCGGTAACGGCGACGCCGAGACGTCGTTCTGAGTCTCCGGTCGATTTTTTGATGACGCCGTTGACGTCGATCGCCGCTGATGTCGCTCACGGCGACAGGTAGACAACTGTCCCGCGGAGGCTGCGCGTAGGCCGAGCAGCGATTCGGAGATCGATCGCCTCGGAGGGATCAGTCGATTACGCGGCGATTCAATTGACTCGGTGCGGTCTGTACGCTGTGAGCGGGAATCAAGCGCTCCGAGCATCGGCGCGGCTCGATAGCACTCTGTCGGGCAATCGATTAATATACTAGCGCGTTCGATTGCTCCCTCGAGAGGAAGAGCCGAGTGTCGTGAGCTCCTCCGCTAATTTTCACATTCGACTCTCGTCGAGAGCTCGCAGACTAGCATGAAGACGTACGTTGTCGAGTCCTCAGCAATCGCATTGAAATACTGTCGACAGTCTCTTTCGCGAAGCGCGCTCCAATTGAATGACCGATCGCGGAAGCTCCTGATACCTCGATTGGAGAACCTAACCTCGAGATGTTGACCCGTCGCCCGCGTGTCCTTGACTCTGACCGGGAACCCGGCACGGTTTCGATGGTGCCAGCCGGTGTCAAATCGTTCCGTTGATTCCGTAGTCACGTGGCGCGTCGTCCTCGTCGTCGTCGTCGTCGTCGCGGTCGATAATCGAATCTCGTGGCCGCGTTGTCGCGTGCACACGCATGCAATCGATAGCCGAGCTTGGGAGAACGAAAAGGTGCGCGAGAGGTGGTCGCTGTCGACGACGAGGGGCTCGGGGAAGGGAGAGCAGACGAGAAGCAAGATGCGAAGGGGGGTGGAGAAGAATCAGGTTAGGTGTGGATTCTCCACGTTCCGTGTCACTATACTTCCCGACCTACCGTTCTTCTTTCTCGTCACACCTGCGTGTGAGAGTGTGAGGTCTCGTGTATTGTGTCTCTTGGCGAGTGCTCGTACACTTTTCGTTTCATCTCATTCCCGGCGCGTATCCTGATGTATCCCGGCTCAGGATGAGAGAATTTCTGCGCGCGGCGATAAATATATATTTATATTTCTCTCTCTCTCTCTCTCTCTCTCTCTCTCTCTCTCTCTCTTCCTCCTCTGTCGCTGCATCCACCGCGCGACAAGGACGAACGCGCGCGCACGCGCCTTTATTATCTGTATACGTATTATATCTTCCTCCCTCGAGAGAAAACCCTTCTCGTGGATGCTATCGACTCCCTTCGTACTCCGGCGTGCTCTCCGGGAACCGGTTTTTGTGATGCGTAAAACGGCGCTGCTAAAAATAAGGTGTCTTCTCTTCTCTCTCTCTCTCTCTCCTCCTCACGATTCCTCGCTCGCTCGTTCTCTCTCTCTCTCTCCCCCTTCTCTTGTTTTTTTTCCTTCGCTCTTCCTCCTTTCAGCCTTCTTCCGTTTGTCTCCCCCTTTCGCTCTTTATTCTCTCCGTCCGCGTTCCACTCCGGACGCTCAGTCTTCGGTCTCGTTTGCTCCAAAGAGTCCTATCCTCAGGTGAAGAGGGACGAACGGTTGTACCGATGCGCGCTAGATCGATCGTTGGTTAGACCGATCGATCCGAGACACGCTCACACCGAGCCGTCGTCTCGACGCTCTATTGTCGACGCGATCGTGGAAAACCGCTTCCCACTCGCGAGCCTGAGCGTCGCATTCTCGTACGCACGTTCTCTGCTCCTCCTCCTCCTCTTCCTTCTCCTCCTCTCTTCCTCCCTCGTTTCCGTCTCGCTCTCTGTCGACGGACTCTCCTTTTCCCCGTCGCGCACAAAAACGCAGTGCGACTTTCTCTCTACATCGTCGTCGTGGTCGTCGATGTCGAACGAGTTGGGTTCGGTAGCGAGTCTGCCTGCCTGCCTGCCTATCTACACCTACCTATCCGCCGTTCCTGGAGGTCACGCGTCCGTTAGGTTAGATTGCTTGGTAGCCTGACAGGCCGCTTGCTATTTACCGAGTCGACTATACTGCCGCTATAGTTATCGATCGCGCGCGGATACGCTCGCTTCATTTCGTGCCACGTTACAGGCCAGACCCGACGAGGAGTTTCGCAACGACCACACTCTGCGCACTGCCGTTCGTCCGTTCGTTCGCTCGCTCGCTCGCTCGCTCGCTCACTCGTACACTGGCGCGGCTTTTACTACGACGCTTCTGTCGTGTACGCGTGCACACGTTGGACCGACAACACCGGCCGCACCGACGCCGACATTGCTCGATTTTCCCGCTGTTTCCCGCGAGAAGAACCGCGACAATCGTGCACACACTGCTGTCCAGTCTTCCCCGGGCTCGGTCACTTTCGCCCGTGTCACCGTGTCACCGTGTATATGGGTCGTGCGACTCGAATCGCGCGCGAATCGTCGTTGTCGTTGTCGCCGCCACTGCCGCCACCTTCGCGCGATGTCACTGACGCCCCACGCACTCGTTCGAAAAGCCCCGCGGGAACAGCAGGACGTATCCCACGGGGAACTACTTTTTGGCGGGCGCTCTCCGCGGAGGCGCGCACGTCGTACTGGGCGCGCGGGCACTCCGTTAGTCGACGCGGCGTGGCGCGACAGCCGACGATGATGACGACGCGATGTCCACCGTGTTTGTACCTGTCCGTTGCCGCTGATACTGTTGGTGCTGCTGCTGCTGCTGCTGCTGCTGCCGCTCGACGTCCCTGTGTGCGCGAGTAATCATGCATAAAAAAAGAGAAACCACACACTCGCGCGGGAACGCTCGTACGCGCGCGTTCGTGAGCGAGGCGATCTGAAAAACGTGCAGGTAAAAGGTGAGCGGCGCGGGCGGAAATATGAAAAATCGAGTCCGCGGCGCACGTACGCATCCATCTGTATATGCACGTATGTTTGTACCTGCGCCGTGTCCCGATGACGACGCGACACACACACACACCCACGCGCACGCGCGCGCGCGCGCGCGCTCTCACGCACGCACGCACGCACGTACGTCCGTCGTCACGTACGTACGTTCGCGAAGAATACGGAGTGTGCGTGCGAACGATGGTGCGCGCGCCCGACGGCAGCGACGGAGAAAGAGAGAGGGCACGAGAGAGAAAGAGAGAGCGAGAGCGTGAGAGAGAGAGAGAGAGAGAAAGAGAACGCTCGCGCGATGGACAGAAGGAAGAAAGGAAGAAACGAGGAAAGAGAAGAACGGTATATGTACGCGAGCCTGCGCGTTGCGCGGCATACTGAGCTCCGAGCCGACCGACGCGGTCGAGGCTGCCTCGAACTCGCGTTCCTCGTCTCCCACTGTCCTTTTCCCACCTGTTTCCCTCGTCCACTCTTTCTCCTTCTCTCCCTCTCTTTCTCTCTCGCCTCCCTCACCCGTCGCACCGTCTCGCTCGCTCCGTCCTACACCACCTCCTGCGCCTCCCCGCGCCGCGTTTGTCACTGTGCTCTCCACTCATGACTTCGCAGCTCGCTCTCGCACCCGCAACACCCGTGAACCCACGATCCTTTCGCGGCTGCTCCTTCAAGCCGCGAGTCCTCGTCGCGTCCTGGAGCTCGCGACGCGAGCCGTTTCACGGGTACGTCTTTTTATTCGCTCAGAGGGTTACGCGTGGGACGAGAACCTTTCGTCGTCATTTCCTGGAGGACGTAAGTTCTCGTTCTGTGAACTCTCTCTTGTCGATAAAAGCGCTTCTAAATGTGACTTGCGAGTCTTCTGCTTGGCTTATAAGCCATTCAGAGGCACATTTAGAGGCACTTTTATGCATAAAAAAGGATCCAAAATAAGGTCCTTGGTCTTTTTATGCAGAGAAAATCTGGTTCTCTTTATATGAAAAGAAAAATAAAAATTAGGAGAAGGAACCGACGATATGTTCTCATCCCGCGTAGTATTGATTATTTTATATATTTCATGACACGCGCACCGTTTATATCTGAAATTATATCAGCCTGATTCAATTAATTAAGTTGAACGTGCAAACGCCGCGGCGGAGCGCTAATTAATAATGAAGCCTGATTTTACGAGACAGTAGGAAAACGTTGGACAAAAGCTGCGCTTCATTGAAGCTACTCATCAATTAATTATAATGAATTCGAAGTCTTTTTGCAATAATCGTCGGTCAGAGATACCGGTTTTTATGATTGCTGTATCGCTTTATGCAAATTAAATTCCAAATTTCGTGTCTTCACACCAAATAGTCACATTCGAGAGAATCTAATTGCGCGGATTTGCCAAACTGAGTAAAAATAACGTGCGGCGTAAAAGCGACACGTCGTCGTCGGCGATTTCTCGAATGCGCCTATTAGCGCGCGCGGTCAAGATCGCACGGTGGCGTCTCGCGCTAATATCAGAGCGCGATGCGCTCATTTTTTTTTCATACGAACGCCGCGTTTTGCTTAATTAAGGCTAAAACGAAAGCCTTTGTTCGCGACCACGTCACGTCGCGGCGCGGGAAGCGACCGTCGTTAAAATAGTTAAGTGGGCAATTATATTTTACGGTATGCAATAAGCCGGCACCAACTACTTCCTGGCACCGGTGAAATCAATGAGAGAATATAGAGGAACGTTCAATAATGCCGATGTCGCGCCGTCTCGCGGATGCGTCTCTCTTTCGCGAAAGGGTTACGCACAAAACAAGAACTTTTCGACGCCCTTTCCAGAGGATTTGGATTTTTCTTTTTCTCTCTTTTTTTTAATAACCATATAGAGTATTTCTATTACGCTGTCACTAAGAATTTTTTTTCATTTTGCCAAATCGTGCGCACAATTTACTTCTGAAATTACGTCATTCTGAATTCTCATGAATTAAATATCAATAATAAATATAATTACATATTAATAATAATAACAAATATCAATAATAAATATAATTACATATCAATAATAATAATAAATATCAATAATAAATATAATTACATGTCAATAATAATAATAAATATCAATAATAAATATAATTACATCAATAATAAAATTAATTACATCAATAGTGAAGTCTAATTTTACGAAATGTGTATTGGGGAAAGAGAAGGCGCGATAACTTTGTGGAATAATAGGTCTTTTTACACATACACACACATATATTGGGAGACAAACTAGACTTGTTCTTTTTAATTAAACTACCTGAAACTATCTGATACAATAAGTTAGAGTAAAACAAATATATTTTATTTCACTCTAACTTGTTGCACCAGTTCAGGCAGTTCAGCTAAAAAGAACGAGCTTAGTTTGTCTCCCAATATATGTGTGTATGTGTGTGCGTGCGCGCACACACACGCACGCGCGTGCGGTGTGAGCGATTTTTCGGGAACCCCGGAACGGGAACGCATTCTCGTTCTCCCACGGAGTAACACATCCCGCGGAACAATGAGCACGCGTGAGACGGTGCGACGCGCACGACGCACCATCACGACCAGCGTAAACCCGCTTAAATTGCGGCGACTTCCGCTTTTACCGAGATATTGCGCTCTTGGGTTTCGTCCTACTCATGTTTCGCGCCGTGAGTCTTGGATTCCAAGTCTAAGTCTATTACTCGGGGAGAGACTTTGAGAGTTTTTCCAGCTTAAAATCCTACTCGAGGTCGATGATATTTTCCGCCTCTTTAACCATTAGGCTGTCGGCATTTTTTCATTAAAAAAGTGGTTTCTTTTTCTCAAAAATTTGTCTATATAAGTAACATGGTGTAGAATTTCGAGATTTGTGCAGAGCCACAAAAGTGGCTTTCCCGGCAGTCTAAAGGTTAACGCAGTTAAATAGTCTGTTCTTTTTAGCTGCACTGCTGAATTGGTACAATAAGTTAGAGTGAGAAAAAATATACTTGTCTCACTTTAACTTATTGCACCAATTCAGCAGTGCAGCTGAAAAAAACAGACCAAAAGTCACTGACTAAACATATCGTTCACGACATATCTCTCGCCGAGAAACGTACAAAGTTCATTTGACGAACTTTAAAGTCCTTATATCATTGTAATCTGAAGTAATGTCGCAGCGAATGAAACAAATAACATGACACTTGTATTCTGTAAATATCTCTTAGAGTAAAATCTCATTCTCGAAGAAATTTCTAAAGTCTCATTTAAAATGAATGGAGATTCGCCCGAGGAAATTTTCTCAGAGCGAAATTTCACTCTACAATGAGTGGAAATTTCTCAGAGTGAAATTTCACCCCAAAAATAAATGCAAATTTACAAAGAAATTTAGAAAATCCTTTCCATCGCCTAAGTCTTGGCGCAAAAAGTGTCGTTATTAAAAAATAATGATCACACGAGAAGGTAACAATCTCCCATTAGGGACGGCGATATCGGAACGGCGGTAACACGATCGACCCTATTGTTTCGCGGCTTTATTAACGAGGAAGTCATCGATCGCTCGATATCATAAGTGTAGTCACTCGGCAAGTCGCGATCTTCGATACACACACACGCGCACGCATATGACCGAATAGAATTTCCGTTCGGCTCGGCTCGGTAATTCAGACTAGCAGCGTGTGTTGTGCGCGAAGCGCACCGTGCAATTACCGGTGGCGTGCCGCCACAATTATCGAGGAATCAATATAAATGCGCCCGGCTGTCACTGCAATAAACTCATAATCGTTTCGCGTCGGAAGCCACCTCTAAGAGCGCGATCGCTTCCGCGCAAGGCGCATTTAATTAATAACTTCGGCGCCGCCTGTTCATCGCGTCATCGCGGAAGGCGTGGTGCACAGCGCCGTGTCTCGCTGGAAGTTATGGTTTCCGCAGCTCGGGGAGCAATAAGCCCCGGCTCTGGCGGCCCTACATTAAACGTGACATTTTATTCCGCGGCACGGCAATGTCCAGATCCGGTTCCAGACCAGGCGATCCGGAATTGTTAAAAAAAAAAAAATGAGAAAATTAAGAAGAGGTAAGAGCTTCTCTCTCTCACACTTACACACGCGAGATAGATAGAGCGAACAGGACTGGAAACATGCAAAATTGCAAAAATGGATGACCCAATGTCGCTCACCGTGATAAGTCGAATAAATCGACCGTAAAATTTGACACGCTGCTTTTTATTCGACATCACTGAGCGAATGACGTTTCTTGCGCGGGCTCTCTTCCAGACTAATTACACAAAGAGGAGATTATCTGTCTCTGCGGAAAGTAATTCTCCGTTCCACATTACGGGAATGTAGGTTTCGTGCGATTAAACACGCGGTGCTTAATCTCTCTCGTTAGACACGCAAGAGAGAGAAAGAGAGAGAGAGAGAGAGAGAGAGAGAGAGAGAGAGAGAGAGAGAGAGAGAGAGAGAGAAGCGCTGAATCGTCGAAGGACACGGCCCGTCGTCATGATCATCTGCGAGCATAAAACTTCTCTCGCCTTTGAGCCATATTCACGTCGTGGTGATTAACAATGGTAAAGCCAACCGGTACGCGCGATCTGATGATACTTGTCTCGCAA